AAAAGTTGTCCTTTATCCAATCATTGGGGAATATTTGTTGTACGACCCCAACTCATTTTGGGGTGTCATTTGACCTACCTATATAAGGATAAGGATTACTTTTTGTATCATAGAAGAACATAGAGGATCATATTGTATTATCTCATATCATACCATACCTTAGAGAACTCTTAGTGAGGAAGCAAAGAAGAGGAGGAGGCTAGAGACACCATTGGAGACTCTTCATCAACCAAGGAGCAAATTTCTTACATGGAGCTTGCCCTTGAGGGTTGGAGGACATCATCCATGAGTGGCTAGACATCCTCTTGGGGCTAGAGTTAGCCCTAAGCATGCTTTCTACTTCTTGATTTATATATTTTTAAGGGGATTTGTATTGTGATTCATGTCTTGACACTTTTATATATATAGATCTTGTTTCTTCAATGATTTATATGGTTTAATGCTTCCAATTGATCATTTCATTCTATCCATATGTCTATGTATGCTAGAATAGATGTTCATGTGTTTGTCTCTAATTCTTGTGTTATTGATGCATATCTATGTGTGTTGATGCTATAGATCTAGAGATTGTCAAGACTTAGTGCTTAATGTCATGTTCTTGTGGTTTATTTGATGGTTCATATTCATTTCTTGATGGATTATGCCTCTCCCTTAGTTTAATTAGTTTAATTTCATGTCATTAGCTTAGTTGTAATGTAGTTGTTAAATGGGAGGACAATCCATGCTTGTTGTTGATGTTCCATACTTATGAAAAGCGAGTAACATGTATCTTTAACCTTGTGATGTGTTTGGATTGTGAGCTTAAAGAAAGGATTAATGGCTTCATTTGATATTTTGTGCTATCCACCATGTTGTTTAGACAATATATGCGTAATTTGTCATCCATGCTTGTTGAAACAACCACACACACACACTTTATTGCAATACATATTCTTCCCCTCATTAATCATTCATTAAAGGTGTAGAAAAGATATGCTTAGTGGTGATCTCTAAACCCCAAGATCTCTCCCTATCTTTTATTCTCTCTATTGCATTATTGCTTACTTTAGTTTAATTTGCGTTTAGTTTAATTCAACCAACCAATCACTATTTTGATCACTCGACCTACTAACCTTAATTTTGATTCCTCAAGCTAGTACGATAACTCAATCCCTTGGGACGATCAATTCTGACTCATACTACATAGTATAGGTGTTAAGCGGTTTATAAATTTAAATTATGGTGCCCCCTTGACACTAATTTCCAAACTCAAAGTTTTGTGCATTGTTTTGTGCGACCACCGAGAAAGACGCCATTGTCTCACTAAAACATGAATAACTCTCATTGTGATTTGAATCTAAGAATGGTACCATTGGAAAGATGACTCAAAATCCTTGAGTATAGGCTCAAGATTCACCCTATTTGGATTAGAAATGAAGAAGTTACGATCGTTTAAAGTTGGAACAATAGTGCTGAAACAAAATTGAAGAGGTTGCTGAATGAGAGCCATTTAGGTCGACCGAAATGGCATTTCGGTCGACTGAAATGACTAGAAAATTTCTTAAAAGCTGGTTTTTGAGGGATGGTTGCTTCACTAGGCCGAACTAAGGCATCGGTCGACTGAAATAAGCCAAAACAGCACCTAAACTACTAGAAAATGAGTTTTTGCTGTACAATGGAGTTCCCAAAAGCCATTGGTCGACCAAAATGACCTTTCGGTCGGCCGAAATGACTCAAAATCATGCTGAAGGACCTGTTATGCATAAGAAATGTTGAGACTTCACCTAAGCCTCAAACCCCATCATGAATTGGTCCAAAAACAAACTTTAAAACTATGCAAGCATGCCAACAAATGTACTTTACATATTGAAATGTGTTACAATGGCCTGTGGCCTCATTACATAACATTTACTCCAAATCATATGCTAAACCTCAAAGTTGGAAAAAGATACATTTCAAAGACAAAACTTGAAATTTAAATACATGCCCTTGAACTTTAAGGTTGGTGGCCCTTAGCCACAAATCATACATATCAAATAGGTTCCAAATGGTGTATCCAAGTACACTTTACATATTATAAGGCAAAAACGACCTAATTGAACCTAACTATGTGATACAACTTTGAAAGCAAAACTTAAACATGCTAACACTTACATGTGAACAAGAACGCATTAAAAGAAACTTCAAATCTACAAATCACCCAAGGCAAGTACAGATCTTCAAACCATGAATACTGTACCTGAAAAATATTCCCTGTAACTTTGGGGTGAGTAACATAAAGCTACTCGTAGGAGATGAGCATACATAGACCTAACATTTTACAAGTTTATCACATTATTGTGAGACAATTCAAAAGGTCATGCCACCTAACGTCTATGTCAGAGATGAGACTCAGGGAGCATCCTAAGTTACCCAAGAACATTTCTACCATAAATCACATCATTCATGCAATTCAAATAACATAGAAGCATGCTATACAGAGTAACAAGATATAGATTATCAAAGTTATCAACTTGAAATCTAAAGTACGAAAATAACTAAATATAGCAATTTAGTATACTTAGAATTTTTGTTGCCCAAGTATAGACTCTAGAGGGGGGTGAATAGAGTCTTTGGCAAATAATGGCCAATTTTTAGTTTTGCAAATTCTACTCAACCCTTCTTACAATTATGCATTTATCAAGATATAAACATAAGCAATTAATAGCATAAATGTAAAAGAGATAAGGGAAGAGAGATTGCAAACATTCACACAGTGATTTTAGCAAGGTTCGGAAACTCCTACTCCTCGGGTCAAGACCCCTCTTGAGACTTCAAATCCACTAGTGCACCTCCTTACGGGTGGAGAGCAAACATTTACATGAAGCAACTCCTTACTTCACTTTGCTAAAAGATAACCTTTCTTAGTCTTCCTTTGGGTCACACCAACCCTTACAAATTGAAGCTAGCTTACTTCTTCTTTTTTAGGCCACACCAGCCCTTATAAATGAAGATTATATTTTTTTGCATACAAATATATCTCTCAAAAGATTGATATGCAAATTAAAGCTCATAATAATCCCTTACAGATTTGATGTACAAAGTTTAGCTCACTCTAGAGTATACATATGAATACAATGAAGCACAGTACTCTTCTAATGATATGGGATGTATGAATGGAAGAACCAAAGCTCTTTGGATGCTATATGATGATTCTATATGGTAGTAACACTTAATCTCAAAGTCCCTAGCTCTATTTATAGAGTTTTGATGAGCTAATTCAAAAATATAGCTGTTGTGCACGGGGTTTAAGGCAAAATAGCCGTTCAGATTTGAATTTGCACTAGTTTGGTCGACCGAAATGAAACACCATGGTGTTTCGGCCATCCGAAATGACTTAAGGTTGTGTTTCACTATTTATTTCGGTAGGCCGAAATAAGTTGGCCTTTTGTTTCGGTCGACCAAAATAAGTTGAGCCTTTGATGCAAAAGTCACTGATAGAATCGGTCATCCGATTCAGATTGCTTCTCCATTTCGGTCTGCCGAAATGGAATTGCTACCTCAGAAGTTTGTTCTAAGTAAACAGATTACACAGTTCTCTACAAGACATCTGCACATACCTTATTTACATTGTAAACTTAAAGTAAATGTAAAGACATTTACTTAAATGTTTTTAATGGAAATAAGGAAGTACCCCCCATTTGGATTCAATAAAAAATAGTAGAAAATTGAAATCCAACTAAATCAAAATGTAGAAATTCAGTTTTAGTACAAATTTGGATTTCTGATAGTTTTGGTAAAAATGAATCCTTATGTAGACCAATGTAGACTTGGTTAAAAATTCTGATAAAATCAGTTTAGGCTAGTTAAAGTATAAAGAGTTATTATCGGGAAAAATTATTTTGAAATAATTATTTCAAAAATTCATTTTTCACACTTAGCCAAAAACACAGTTTTTCATTACGCGCATTCTGGGGTCCTAATGTTAGGCTTCTCATGCCTTAATTGTTGACCAATATGAATTATATGATTGATGTGCATGGTCTTAGTATTTCTAGAATAAGCGATGAGGTCTTTCAAAGCTTATGCAAGCTTGAACTAACTCACTCTTTAGCAATGACTTCATGTGCAATTATATATGAATGAAGTGCACAGTCTATTGCTAATATATATAGGAACATATGAATGATGATATGATATGTATGATCCTATAAAGATGAGCTTCAAATGAATTCATAAATACTTTGACATTAAATCCTAAACACTCACCATCCTATCTACCCCTTTTCTTCAAGCTTTGTGCATGATCTTTAGGCTTTGAGGTAGTCTTGTTTTCTTCCTTCCTTTGAGTTGCTTTCTTGCTTATTATAGTCCAAGCTATCTTTGGATAGACTTTGCATTTGGTTCTTTGCAACTTGATGTCTTCTTTATATTATTTGCTTTCCATAGATGTGATCTTGAGTAATGAAATACTTGGAATTGACTTTATGATCTTCATAGCTTCATTGAGGTTCTTCTTTCACTACAACAAATAAGGGTTTCAGCGGCGATTTTAAACCGCCGTTGTAAGGGACCAAAAACGCCGGTAAAACCTTTACCGGCGGTTTTACAAAACCGCCGGCATAGACACCGCCGCTAGGTTTCACCGGCGGTTTTTATGTACCCGCCGGGTTTGAAATAAGTACCGGCGGATGCATACAACCGCCGGTGATAGTTTAAATAGCGACGGTTATGGCCGCCGGTGAAAGATTAAGTTGCGGCACTTTGAAGTGCTGCTAATATAGACTTTTTATTTTTAGGGGCGTTTGTAATCGTCGGTGTATTATAAGTAAACTGTCATTTAACAGTATACTCCGACACTTTGAAGCGCCGATAATGTTGACTTTTTTACTTTTAGGGGCGTTTAAAACCGCCGGTAATGTGTTAATTTTTTTTAAAATATATATATTATTTTCTGGTTTAATTTACATATTAGCAAATATTTTATTTTGTTCCCTGTTTAATAAAATCAAAGATAATTTACCAATCACAAAACATCCAACAACTTAAATTTGATATATAACATATAAAAAAGTTACATTAAAATTCAATAACATCCATAACATATAAGTTTTGTTTCAAAATGTCAAGTGCTAATAAAATGTTCAAAAGAAAACACCAAAATCTAATAAAGCTTCAAAAGGAAATCATTCAAAATAAAACATCAACATTTCATTGAGAATTTGAGTGAGACTATGCGAGGGTCTTGAGAATTAATAGTTCAACTTCATCTCTCGTCTTTCTTCAAATTGCTCTACATACATTTTAAATAAAAGTCATTAAACAAAGAATAATAATTAAGACAATTAAATGTATGGTTAAAATAACATGATAATTAAAATTTATAGTGCTCACCAATGATGAAATTTCATGACCAAAAATAAAATTTAAGGATCACCAAATGTAGTTGAGGAGCCGAGTACCTTCACAATAAAATATAATTTTATTATGTACCCTCATAATAGAATATAATTATAAATATATTAGGACTTATAATATTTATTTAGTTAAATGTTTATAAGGGTACAATAACAAAAATATTTACCTGCATACATTGAATGGATAAGGAAACACAAAAAGATATAAAATATCAAATCTAATAAATTTTAGTACTCATATTTTACACTTGATCAAACTAGGAAATAAAAATACTCATTTTCCCTATTAGCTTGTTCACCCATTTCACTTTGAATTCCAAAACCCTCATGGAAGAGTTCGTGCATGTTATCATTATTTACGTTGGAGTCGATATGCTCGTATGAGGAGTCCCCGTCATTATGCCTAGAAGACAAAGGTAATTGTTCTCCATGATAAATCCAAATTGTGTATGTATTGATAAACCCATTCCACATCAAGTATCCAAAACTTCTTGCCTTATTTTCTTGATACAATTCCCACACTTGTTACACGGACAATATATGCGTCCACTTTGCCCAACTCGCTCAAATGCTGTATCTAGAAATTGTTCAACTCCATTCGAGTATGTAGTACTTATTCTATTTGTATAGTAAAAAAGATAAAGTCAAAATGAATTTATCGTAAATATCTAAAATAAAATGAGAATAAAGCTTTATAATATTTTTATTTGTTTTTAAAAATTAACGAGACTAAAATTTAAAGTACCTTGAGTCCGTAATCCAACTTCTATCCACTATGTAACCTAGTGAAACAAAGAACATATGAATCTCAAATAGTGTTAAATAAGATCCAAATTAATCCTCCAATTGGCAACACCTTTTCCAAAAGAGAACATGAACTTGTAAGGTGGATAGATTTAGAGACCTACTAAACTCAACAAAAACATTTTCTCAACTGTTTACGCCTCTCTGGTTTTTAACCTGAGTAGGAGCCAAAGGATCAGACAAAGGAAGACACATATGAGCTAATATATAAAGGAGCTTAGTGACTTAGTCCACTCTTTTTAAATCCATGTCTACGGAATTAATGAATATATTAGTTCAATGTTTGCCACTGATCATTAGTTGCTAAGTTGAATACTGCTGAGCACAGAGAGAAACAAACACTACTAAAGAAAGTTAGGCTTGTTTATTACTATTAATATTGATTTATGAACTATTTGCATTTGTCATAAGCATGCTGGAGCTTAAAATATAGTGTTGAACATATATAATTAGGCTAATTAATTAATCTCACCAACTCATAAACTATGAATTTCCTCTCTACTACATGTATATATCTTGTTGGAAGTTTGGGCACAATATATATATATATATACACACACACACACACACACTTTGGGCACTTTTTAAAAAAAATGGTTCATATTCCATTTAACAGAAAAGAATAAATTAGAAAGATTAAATGTTGCTTTTGGATTTTAAAAAGAAAAAGAGAAAGGATTAAAGGTGAAAACGTCATCAAAAAAAGATATGTGCATTTGTAATCCAATTGATTGTAACATTAAAACAAAGAGTAATGAAGACAACATGCAATTAATGAGAACTGCACACAAAACCCAGTTAAGAGACACAATATTTTCTCCGCAAACTATGATATTTTCTGAACAAAAATTTATTGAGATCAATTAATATTGAAACACACGAGTTGTGTAGTACTTTTTCCAGACACATCTGTATTATCATAAGCCGAAAATTATGAGCAACATTGAATATATATGTACCTGATTGTAAAAAATAAAGGAGTTTTTTGACAGGGATTTAGCAATGGTTTCATCAATTTGGGAAATCATTCAACAAGAAGTAATTTAAATTATAAAACCCAGATCAAACACAAATCCCATAATTTTATGTTTGATTGAATAATTAGGAACAAAACCCAGATCAAACACTTCAAATATATATATATATATGATTACAGAATAAAAATTATAAGAAAACGAAATCAGCACCATGGCAACATGAATCGTAAAAAGAGAGCTCACCACAACTCAGATATTTGCCGCCCGCCTTGACCACCACCGCCTTTACCGAGATCAGCGTCGCCCACCACCACCGAGATCAGTGTCCCCCACCACCAAACGCACCACTAATCGTACCACCACTGTTATCATGAAAACATGAGTAAGAGAGTGGAAGATGGGTCTTTGAAAAATGGAGGCCTTTGTCTTCTGAATAATACCTAGCCCCAAACACGTTTTGAAAAGGTAAGAAAAACCTAAGCCCAAAACTACATCGTTTATTTAATTAATTATTGAAAATCTAAACTTAAAGCTAATATATGACGTAATATTTTTGGTAGTTTAAACTAAAGAGCCAGAAGGGAGAAAATTATATATATATATATATATAAATCACAGTTCAACGCCGGAGAAAGTAATTTCAACGGCACTAAATATTGCCGGAGAAAGTAATTTCAACGGCACTAAATATTGACTGCTGGGAAAGCCTAAAATTACCGACATAACTACCTTAATATATTCCGGCGGTTTAATATCAACCGTTGGAAAACCAATATTTTACGACAGTTTGATAAAAACCGCCGTAAAAACAAAATATTTTAACGGCGGACAAACCGCCGGTAAAATACTTAACAGCGGCACTTTTATATTAACCGCCGGTATTGGGTAAGTAACAACGGCAGACACTTTAAAAGCGCTGGTAAAGACAATATTTCTTGTAATGTTTGAATGTGAATGATCTATATAACACTCAATGTAAACATTAGTCCTTAAACACCATTAATGGTTTATTATCATCAAAATCTCTAGATTGTCCTTGGATGAAATCATTAAGGTCAACAATTTCTAATATCACACATCAAGACATAGATTCTCTAAGTTATCAACTTGAAATCTAAAAGTACAAAATCAGCACAAGCGGATATACTTGGACATTAATTGGATGAGACCGACACAGGGCTACTTTTGGGCTACTAACCCCTGGGCAGCCTACCCAACGCACGTATTTTTGACTTAAAGAACTCTTGTCCCCGTACTAGAGCCAATCCCTAGCCATCATGCAACATCCCAAGTGATTCTAAAATAAATAAGTTAACAACTTATATACGTATTAAATAGTACACGAAACTACCTTCATGCCCAAGTAGGTTGAAACCACACAATATATGCTCTAAATCCACAACTACTATTGGATGACAATGTCGAATCTTTAGAGTGTCATTCGTTACACTCTATAATAACATCACATGTCAAATCTTCAGTGTGCGATTCATTACAAGTCTAAAATCAAGATTTAAACATACCACCAATGTCAAACACATGATTAAATCAGTAATGCAATAGAAACAGAAATTAATTACATAACCTAATTAATTTCTCTAGGTTTCAAATCTCAATTAAATGATCCCTAATTGACACATGTTAAACAACATAGCATGATCATTACATACATTCATTCAAAATCTCAATTAGGCCAATGGAACTGTGGCGACCCTAGTTTTTCAAGCCAATGCGTCCTGTGATGAACCGTAGTTTGACCCGATAATGGATCCGAAATGCGAAAGAGAAAACAGAAAACAAGTCTCTAGGGATATATAACATCCCTAGGATACCAAAGTGACCTTTCATAAGGCTACAGAACTCCACGAGAACCGATGCAGAAGAAAAGAACAGAGAAAAAGACCAAATAAGCCCCCAAGGGCAAAATAGTTATTTTTAAAAATATGGATTCGGGTGGCACTGAGCATACCGCTGAAAAGATAATGACAAAATAATTAAGATGGACTCAAGAATCACATGATTCGGAGTCCGAACGAAGGAGAAATGGCATGACGAAGAAAAATGAGCACTTATGGCTAAAATGGTAAACTAGTAATTATTCAAGAAGATCTGGGTGCAACTGAGCACACCGTTGGAAAGACAGCGAAAAATTAGTCAAGTTCAAAAAAAGGTTTACTCGATTTGGAGTCCGGACGAAGGAGAATGAGCGAAAACAAAAATCAACGTCACGACATCGAGACGAGGCACCACAAGCATCCTAACAAGCACCCCACAAGCATCCTAACAAGCACCATTACATGCTAGGGGGAAAAAAAAGATTCAGCCAAAATTGAGAGCCGAAAAGAGGTCTGAAACAAATTTTTTTGGAAAAACACGAAGAAGAAACCCCCCCCCCCCCCTAAAATCGAGTTTTCTACCCGACAAAGTGGAAGGAAATGAAAAAAAACTCACTGCAAAATTGTGACGACCTTGGTTTTTTAGGCCAGTGTGTCCTGTGATGAACCAAAGATTGACCCGATAACGGATCCGATATGCGGAAGCGTCGCGGCAGTTTACGGACTTAGCAGACCAGAAGGACTTAATGGTGCAATCGGTGTCTAGAAATTAAAAAGAGTTGGAACAGGGATTCCAAACATTATATCATGCTATATTAGAGCCACTTTTAATAAATTAGTGTCTTAGTACTCATGGATTTAATCATAGGAAGTTTCACAGCAGTGCAGGCTATTAACGGATGGAAGGGGTTTGATTGCCTAATTTAATTTTAGCAATTTAACGGATTATATATATATTCATAAATCTTGTTTTGGTTGCATGCTAGTGTCATTTATATATCATGTTTGATCTATGCATACTTTGGATGTTATTTGTTGAAAATATTAATTTTGAACTACAATGCATGGACTTAAGCTTGGAGTTTTAATTGTTGTAATATTAAGCATTACACTACAAATATTTAGATTAGTGGATTTAAATTACGGAACTAGTACTTGGGTTCTGTCAATCTAATTAGATGTCGAACTAGAATTAATTGAAGAATTATACATATATATTTTCTGTCAATTAACTAGATGAATGCTGGATTTTAACTTGATAATTTATTAAACTTTGTCTCATTAGTACATGGATGGATGCTGGATTGTTAGTTGATGAACTGGTTAAATTTTGTATTATTAACTATATGGATTATGTGGATTTTATTTGATGAACTGCTCAGAATGTTGCATCATTATGGATCATTTGCATGGTATACACCGGTATGGGACAGTGGGATACGGAGGGACGGATTAGATCAAAACGCTAATCCCTACCTATTTATACATACGGAATGGATTAACTAAAATAGTCAAATCCTACATGGTTTCATGTCCTGTCAACTAAAACAGTTGAACGACATACTGGATGGTTGTTTATATTTTTGTATTAGGAATGATAGGGTTTTAACTAAAACGTTTAAATCCTGATTACATGTTGTGTCTTGAGCAATGAAATATTGACCGGCACAACATTATACTTGGAAGGGAACTTATATATATAATTGGGATAAGGATTTAATTAAAACATTTAAATCCTAATTTTATGTCTTGTCATGGCAACGATAGTTGAGCGGCACTACATTGGTTTGGATGGGAATTTATATATATAAATTATGGTACCGCAATCTGAGCTTGAGTATCATAGTCGATGGTTAGGGTGCATATATGCAATTGGATGTGTAGCTAGCTATGTTGGTTGAGGTATACCCTGTTAGTCTTAGGTAGTCATGCCCACTCAGGTGCGTATTGCATGTTGCCTTCTATTCAGGTTGAGACCCTCAGCATAGTTTAGTGAGAGTCCTGTAGTGTGGATATATATTTATCTATTATGGACTATATAAATATAGTTGAGACATCTAGGATGTATCTGCGTATCGGGTCTCTGTTTGGATTGTAGTTAGGATAGAACTTGTTCGTGGGCCTAACCTATTATTATTTTTCAGGTAACGGACGGTTCCAGATCTTAGATCTTGTTCATGCTAAGCAGAGACGGCTTCTCATTCTTCCGACGACATAGGAGCTTCTTCATGATTTAGCAGTGGAGTTCTTCAGTTGATGATTTCAGTGTTGGAGTTTTTAGGGGTCCACCAGATGGATTCTCTAGTTGTATTAGAAATGGAGAATTTGGATGTATCAGAATAATTCTTTATTAATTTAATTTTTATTCTGAGGTTTCAGTATTTGGATTATCATTCTAGTTTCTTTTCAGCAAATTTTTATTTATTCCTGTTTCCTTATTTGTATTCTGTGTTCGTTTATTGCTAATTGGTTTGATATCCTCAGGTAATCGGGCATGGGCCTGGCCAACCCACATCCGGAGATCCGAGGGTATCACAGTTGGTATCAGAGCACTCCAGGTTCCAGTGTCCTTAAGAGTGTTTTCGTTATAAGACTTCCGCGTTGCATCTCTTAAAAACTTAGAGCCATATTAGGATTCGTTGTACTCTTGTTACAGTTCGGTAGGAAGAGCTGATGTCAATTATATTCCATAGTTATAGAATGGTTGACACTAAGAGGAGGATAGGGTTCAAGGCGAAAGCGATACGGACCCAAAGGAGTAAAGGAGTAGGTTGTCAAGTTCTTTGCCAGAAGCAAAACTTGGGATCGAAGGTTTAGTTCCAAGGTTGGCATTACTTAGAAAGTATATGCCAAGAACGGATCAGGGTGTAGGTGTTAGGTCACCGCATGTCGGGGCCAACACAACTTCGGATGATCTCAAAAAGGAGACAAGCGAAGAGTAGGATTCTGAAGAGGATCCTAAGGGAGGAGATATCTGCGTCTCCAAGAAAGGGGATATTGAAGCTTGAAGATGAAGGATTGCACGAGGGTGCTTTCATTCACCCGCAGTATAGTGAAAGACACTGGTAGCGTTGGTGTGAACCAATCCACAGATGGATGAATTTTCGTATCATGTCTTAAAGAGTTAATTGAGAAGTATTTTTTTAGGAGTTTGGGGAATCGGATGGAGTTCTTATCAGAACAAGGATGTTATTTTATCTCACGTTCAGGACAGTATGGGGATTAGGCTATGACATTATAAGTTGCTTTGCAAAGTCGCGATAGATGGTTTGCATTCTGCGTATAAAGAGGATAAGGGGTAAGCCTGTGGTATTTGCTTAGGCAAAAGAATGTTGCTTTTAAGCTATAGTTACAGATAGGTTTCAAGGTTGGATGATTACCAACGAAACTACGAAATGAACTTTTGTGACATAATTTGGGAACTTGAGTTCAAAGGAGGTTTTCTTCTCTCAAATAGAGGATGTTTTAAGTAGAAATTATATTTTTGGTTGTTTTATTGTATTATGTGTATCTATGTGTTTTTTTTTTTTTTTTTGTTATTTTGTGTTGTATTTTGTTGTTACGTGTTTCATTTTTGTTAATTGGTTCATGAATTGGAATAAGGT